TCCATCTAAATGTCATTCCTTTAGTGAACTGAAGGCACACCCCCTTTATTCACAACCCCCCAAAAAAAACACACCCCCCCCCCCCCCCCCCCCCCCCCAGCTTCACGCCAGTCCAGTCACCCAGAACCACCCTGTCTGGCTACAGCTGGACCGCTGGAGGACAGCTGAGCGGTCTGGTCCAGAATAATACCTCACAGTGAAATCTATTTTCCTTCAGTTCACTAAAGGAATGACATTTAGATGGACTTTCCATGGAGCTGTGGCCAAGAGGGTGAAATGACTTTTTATGTGGTGTGATGGCAGCCGTGATGAGAGATAGTGAATATTGAGTATGAGAGCGCCTAAAAATGGTGACGATGGAGGCTGTGAGGAGAAATGTTTCCGAAGTGACGACACTTCTACCCTTCTTTTCAGCTCTTCTACTCCACCTACCTCTCCAGCTCTGCCAGGAGGAGCATTGGTGTCAGTGAGGAGATCAGAAGGGAGGTGTACGACCAAATGATGCCCGCTTTTGAGGAGCTGTTTGACAAGGTTGAGGAGCACACACTGAACATCCTGCTGGAGCCGTGGACACTGCTCGTCAGCAGGGACAAAGAGTCCTTCCAGAAGGTAACCACAGTTTCATTCACCTCTAATTTATCTGGAGGAAGTGGGTTTCCTTTAAGCTTTGCTGGACCAGCTGAAGTGATGTGCATCTAACCCCACTGAGGAAAGAGGATGTCCCATAAAAATGCACGGCAGGATGTCTAATCTTACAAGAGTCTCTGTGCATGATCGGATTTTGGGCTGCAACTAAAGATCATTTTCAGCCTTGATTAATCTACGGGATATTTTCTCAAGTAATTATTTGGTCTATAAAACATCCAAAAACTGTAATGTAATAAAAGTTATATAACCAAGAGAAGGAGCAAATTCTCTGGGACCATAAAATGTTGGCATTTCTGCCTGAAAATAAATACTTTTCTTTTTACCTCATTAATTAATTAATACTAATTCAGCTCCAATTGGCTTAATGTGTGTTTTGTGTGCATCCAGGTGTGTGTGCAGGAGGAGGTGCGTTGCATCGACAGTCAGGAGTACAGGGAGCTCCAGAGTCTGTACGAGGAATCAGAGCGCCGACTGAAACAGGTCAGCCAGCGTCCACAGTGTTCCACAGATTTATACAATGTTAGTTCTCAGTTAACAGCCAATAAACAGCTAATGTTACCAATGTGAAGATGGACTCGATCCAGTATTTATGCATTGCTTAGTAACAGTGTTGGTTATCCACTGCTCCAAGAGTATATCACTTGGCCTGACTGTGCTATTGACAATGGTGTCATACTGCAGTGACTTTAAGAGGCAGTAGGTGATGTGCAAATATCCCAGTTAAGTGGTTTACACTGATTATTTTTCATTTTTCATTCTCCCAGTCACTTTTTTTTTTTTCCACCTTCTGCTGCTGTGTCTTCTCCAAAGGTGAAGCAGTCCACGCTATTTCCCTCTCCCATTTCACCATCGACTCCCTTCTCAAAGGGCCCCCGGGCGCCTGACTCTTGGTCCAGAGTGTCTCCAAATTACCAAGGCTACCGTCTAGGTTCCTTACTTCGCCACCGTCAGGAAATCGGACACTTTATGTCCTTCCTACAGAATCGGGATGCCAGGTGAGCTGTAAAGCACATAGTTTGTATATGAGATGATCGTCCTGTGTTCAGACTTAAGTCTCCCACTCTACCTAAATATGTGCATACAATATATCTACAACATTACACCGTACCTGACCTGCAAATGTGCACCATATTCACATTAAAATGAAATTAAGGCAGTATGAAAATGTACAGAAAGTGTATTGTTTGGAGGATGTATACAATGCCCTGACATTTTTATTAAAAGGTAAGATGGTGGTTCTGAACATGTGTTTCCGCTCAGTATCCATCTGACATGCTGGCTGGATCTGGAGCAGTACAGGAGGACTCCTCACAAAGACAACGCTGTCAGACAGGAGAAATGGTCTCATATTGCGACCAAATATCTCACCAGGACGTACTTCTTTGGCTCCGACAGCCCGGCCACAACAGAGCAACAGAATGACGTACGTCAGTCGGTCACATGGTTGAAAGAATGTGTTCAATTTTATTGGGAAACCCATTTTTGTGTTGTCACATCTAGATTGATATTGGATTATTGTCAACGTCCTGGGAAAGCATTAGAGACGGCGGCAGAAACGTGGTGCTCATGACATGACAACCCCAAGATGGGATGTGAGCTCCAGCTCAACATTCAGATTAGATAAACAGAGGCCGCTGCGGCTCTCACACAATTCCCCATCTCCCTTCTCGGGCATCCTGCAGATGTCATGCTGACAGCTCTGACAGCAGGGTGTCGGTGGGAAAACGGGGAATGAGAGAACGTGGTTAGGGTTAAAAGGAGTAGGAGAAGAGTGTGGTTTGGATACAGAAAGACAAAAAAAAGACTTGCTCCGGTAACAATGACAGTAGGACGAAATCTCTCCTGACATTTAAAGTCTGGGATTTGGTTTCTGGATTCTAGGATTACTGCAGGAGGGCATGCTGTGTAGAGCTAGAGTCAGTAGATGGGACACTGAGCAGTGAGCTTGATTTTTCTCTTTCGGGACACCAGAGATATTTGCTTTGCAGTATTTATTATACATTCACAGGAAAGAGTGTATTCTATGTGTCATAGGACAGTGGCAGAATGGTTCCCAACCTTTTGTCCGTCTCCGTTTGTTCAATTACAATTGTACTACTAACATTTGAACCATTTGTGTATTACATTTAACTATTTCAAAAGTGTAATACTGTAACTACCTGAACCATTCAACTGATACATTCAACACTAACTACGTCAACTATTTAGCCATTACGCTCAGCTAACACCAACCATTCCAACTGTTGATCTCATCTGTTCATCTATTCATTGCTTTTAGCTGACTATTTGAACTGTTTATTTACTTTTAGATATATATTTTAACATTGACCGATTTGTTCTGAACATTTTAGCTAATTGCTAGCTCGCTAACTCCTTTTCACAGCCGCAACAGGAAGTGTTCACGTTTTTCCTTCTATTTTAAATTAGCTGAGCTACTCTAACATTCTTGATTGTGAATATCAAAGTAATGGCCGTTGAAGAACCCTGATTGTTCTTGAAGCACACTGGGTTAAGAGAGAGACATTCAGTATAGCCTGTTTATTGACATGACTTCAACTCTGGTGCATGATCGTTGTCATTTTTCACCCTCATCTCATAAATACCATCAAAATAATGATTGTAACATTAGAGTGAAGATGCCAATTCTAGTGCTTCTAACTCTGCAGGATTGGGTCTGGCTGCCGCTCTCTCACATCTCAGTGTTGCTTCTCATCTGCGTGAGCGATGTAGAGAGACTGACAGCTTTACTGCTTTGGCCCTTCACTCTTTCAATCACTCAGTCATCCAGTCACAGATTGGCCTCCTTTCATCTACTGACTCCCACTCCAATGGCACGACTGTTTCTCATTTCTGAAGTGTGTGTGTGTCTGTGTCCGCGCAATGCTTGGCTTTGTGTGTGCATAATGAGATGAGAGAAAATATAAAAGAGATATAAATAGGGAGACATGGCCAGATTGATGTATGTGGACAGAAAGCATACAGGGGAGATGAAGGGAACAGAGGGAATGTGGAAATGATGAAGAGCACAGCAGGAGTCAGGAAGGAGAGGAGTTTTCAGTCGGGTTTCCCACTGTGGGCACTTCTTTTTTCCCCGAGTCTGTCCTCATGTTTTTCATGTTGTGAGACATTTAGCATTCATATCAAACACATTAACACGCACACAAGCATCAGCCTCTACTGTATCTTTGACTTTGGAGTGTGTGTGTGTGTGTGTGTGTGTGTGTGTGTGTGTGTGTGTGTGTG